ATAATTTAGGTACTTTTATGATTGTTTTTGTAATAAATATAGAGTAACAACTATTGATTGATTACTACTTCTATTTTGTAGTTAAAAATGATGCTTTGGAGAAAAAGGTAAAAAAGGTTGACAATGAGGTGGATTGTAGAGGATTTGAGAATATGCTGAAAACACCATCTACATCCTGTGCAGCTTCTCCATGTACCACATATGTGTCAACATGTCCTGGAAAATTAGAAAAACTCCATTTTAATTGGAAGTTCTGAAAAGTTAAGTGTAATGCGCCAAGTATCCTCATCTACGCGCCGCATAATGTCAAATCTCTATAAATACATAGATGAATTCATCTAGAAAAATAAAACAAAAGAGTTACACACTTTTATATGATTCTAAAACCTTATAGGTGCAGAAGACGACCTAGAGACGCCATTTTAAGAATCTTTTGACGGTATTAGCTGCTGGCTAATACGGAAGTAGAAATATGGAGATCAAAAGAAGAAATCATTACGTTATCAAACTGTTTACTTTTTTGCCTATAATTAGTCAACGATTTGATTTCTTACATGATATTTTCAAGATTTGGGTTTAAACTCTTTATGATTATTTGACATTTATGAAATCGTAGTTTTATTGTTGATTGACATTTGGTTATTATAGTTATTCAATGTATTATGTTTGTTTAATTAAAGACCCATACATATTAATGTTGATTTTGTTATGTTTATGTAACTGAGTGAATGATCTAAGATTAGGTTTGGATAATGTATCTTGTATCATGCTATTTTGCTAGAGTTAGTGGCCTAAAACTCCATTAACGAGGTAGAAAGTAGAACTAGAGGTCAACCGTATCCATAGGTTAACCATAATATAATTGAGTTAATCCTCATGATTGTTCCAGTTGAAAGATCTAGTATGCTCAAGAGTTATATTAAAGTGATATTGCTAATTAATATATGATATTAATGGGTCACACTAACAACAACTTGCTACAATTGATTTTTATTAGAAATTGGTTTTAATAAATATTCAATAAACTCTTATAATTAAATTGGAAATTATTTATTTCTAGAGAATAATAATTTTCATTAGCAAGTAACATTATATATAACTCATATGGTATGAATTAATAAGTCATGCACAACATATTGGACTAAACAAATTCTTTTGTCTTCTACCAAAAAGTTAAAGTTTATATTTTATAAACTTGTTTTGATAAAATATAAAGTTTTTGCCTTCTTCCTTTTATTATTTATAAACATAAGAGTCAAAAAGGAAGAGTATTACTTTTTGATTATTTAAATAACATAATAACTCTTTAAATATTTAAATAAGAGTATGGCCTTTTGATTATTTAAATGAGAGAATGGTTCTTTGGTTATTTAAATAAGGGCATGGTCTTGTGATTAGTTTATTCAAAAGCAGAGAATTGTTTCTACTATAAATACAAGACTTGATACTTTCATTTGGCTTGTTCATTCACACTCTCTAAAACTGTAACCTCCTTAAAGGTGGTCTCTCTCTCTCTCTCTCTTTCTCTCTCTCTCTCTCTCTCTCTCTCTCTTTCTTCATTTTTTTCTTGAAGTTACTTGCATCTTCATGCCCTCTTTAAGTTCGCATTGGTTATGAACTTAAAGCTTAAGGGATTAAGAGTTTATGGACTAGCATCTACATCAAGTTGAGTCATTGTTGGTGTCTCAAAGGTTCTACATTCTTCATTAACTTCCAAGCCTCCCAAGAGGACCCAAAGAACTACAAAGGTTGTTATTTCTTCATCATTCCTTTGGATGGTGTTTAAATCTTTCTTGCAAGAATATCCTTTGTAGGTATAAAATGTTATGTTATGTTCAAAATCTTAAATCTTTCGTTGCCATATTTTTCGAGTTTTTAAAACAATTTTTGAACTAAAACCCACCAATCGGTATCAAAACCACCTTGTAAGTTTGGTTAGTTTTTTTTAATTTTTGGAAATTTTAGTTTTTGGAAAATATGGATAACTTGTTTTTGTATAAAAATAAATTCATACATATTTTCTATGATAACTTTATATTTGTTATTTTATGTAACAAAAGTTTCATACATCTTTTATCATTTAAAGTGGTCTTAGAAAAAAAAATGTTGTTTTATATGTATTTTGATGTATATGATGTGCATAAACTAGCCAATGACCATTGTTTTTGTTGTGTTTTTGTGTTGGTTGTTTTATAAAAATGGTTGTAATAATTTATTTATTCATATGGTATGTAATAAATTAAATAGATTAGTTTTCTTGTTTATTTTTGTAAAGTAATAGATTAGTTTTTAGAAATAATTTATTTGTACAAAAATGTAACAAGAAATGAAGTTGGAACCATTTTTTGAAGACGCATATAGCAATTTTCGAGTCTAAAAGTTGTGCAAGATTTTCAGTGATATTTTTTGAAAAATGTCACTAATGCTGTTTACAAAGGATTGTTCGCTTTTAGCGATGATTGCTAAATTTTAGCCATCAAGAAGTTTTTCCAATCATTTGCAAGCAATTGGTGTTTACACAAGTGGGAGCTTCTACAACAACATTACAATAAGTTTTTTTGGTCTCTCTAAATATCCCTTTAGGAATGGATTTGGCAGTTTTGTGTTGGCTCACAAAAAAATATCATTAGTTGGTTATGTATAAGTACATATATTTTTATGCATGTTTGTGTTGTTTATTTTATGTAATTATTATGTGTGATTGATAAATTATTTTTTTCACATGATAAAATAATTTTAGACAAAATAAACATCACATGGAGTTTGGGTTTTCAAAATTGGACATATGATGCAACAAGTTATTATTTTAAAAATAAAACATGGTTTTATAAAATCGTTAATAACAACAAATTTTGAAATACTCCATTATAAGTTTTAAAATGGTGATTTTTATAACTTATACGAACTCCATATATATAAGTAATAAAATGAAGTTTTATTGAAGATGCATAAGGTTCAAATGCACTCTAAATGAATACTTGTTATTAAAATTGAATATATAAAAACTAATTTTTTATATAGAACATTTAAAGGTGATTTTCTTTTGAAAATTGATACCATGGTTTATTATATGCATGTAATAACCATGATATCATATGTTTTTAAACTAGAATTATAAAACATATAAATACCCTTATTTTACAAACGTCAAATCTATGCAATCCTTTTGAAAAAAACACTCGCACATCTCTTGTATGCACTAGTGGGATAAAGGATACCTAACCGCTTAGTGTTGCCTTTTTATAGGTGGGGTGTCTTCGCAATTTCTATAACCAAGTTATAGGCCGGTTACACAAGTTTTTTTAAGTTGGATGATTTGATCGAAAATCTTTTGTGATAAAGGATACCTAAGCAAGAGAATTTCAAGGAATAAATGGGATCAAACATGTCTAATTAAATTTTTTATTACAGATCCCGTAAATCTAGGAATTATATAGTAAGATATAATCGAAAATCCATATCTACCAGGTTGAATTCAAATGGATGGGATAAAGGATACCTAATCATTTACTTTTTGCAACTTGGATCCTAGACTTTGATAATTAATGTTTTTGGAAACTAAAAGGATATTGATTATTAAATATTAAATATTAAAAATACTAAATGAATTTTGTTGAAATTTTGTAGTTAAATAATTCATTCTTACTATCATGAATTGTCATTTTCTTTAAATACTTAAAGAAACAATAACATTTAATAGATTCAACTTCAATGAATGGTTCATGTCTTTAGAGACAATCTCGTGAGAAATATGAAATTGTATACACTTAAAAGTCCTAGTCCTAAACTATTTGCTTTGATCAATAAACCTGAACATGATACCTAGTAAAGGCATCAATGTGATGCTAAAGATGCTTTTAACATCAAGCTAGGAATAGTTATTCATGAATTCTAGGAAGTCTTGGATAATTTAAACATATATCTGATGATATAACAGGTCAAGCAATATTCCAATAAATATAGTGATATTTTATTTAAAGCTAGTTTATACATTGGAATAATGCAAGGCTAAAAGAATCACCTTATGTGATCCAGGAGGTCCATGTTTTATGGATTGAACACCTTTAAGCCCAAGAAATATATTAAATCCCACTGTTGTGATATGTCGGAGAGGGTTGAATTGGAGTCGAGGGTGAGAATCGAGTTGGTTCTTGCTCCTGATATCACAGTACAAAAGAGAAAAATAATCGTTAATCGACTTTCGAGAGGGACACCCGGGACGAAGCTCCAAGGATCAAGTTAGAATGGATTTGAGAGAAGTGAAGGTAAAAATCTCAAGGAAAAAGATATATCCCCCTCATCATGAAGAATAAGAGTCCTTTTATACCTGGTTGTGAGGTGTGTGCCTCATAACTAATTCTATTTAGTGTTCCCTCGTGAGGTGCGACGTGGCGGATCCGTATTGAAGGATCTTCTGTCACGTCTTTTTGCCTCATACCCTCATTAGTTAGAGGGGAATATTTGATATTATGATCTTCATGGTTGTCGTCAGATGGACAAGTGGAACTCTCTGATTGGTCTCACGCTGGTCGGGGTGTTATCTCTAGGGGAAGAGGCAAAGGCGCAGTTCTGCCCCTTAACCGTTATACCAGTAACTCTGCATTGGCGAAGGCCCGACCTTGGCTTTAGATTAGGCATGATTAGATTCTACCCAAGCCAAGATCAGCGTTAGTTTGAATCCTCCTTTTTTACGTTCTCTCTGAGGGATATGTTAACAAGTCCCTTAGTCTTGTAGGCGTGCGTGTTGGCTTTGTAGCGTCGCCGTTCGAGCCTATATTTCGATATGTGTATGTCTGAGATTATCTCCAACATTTGACAGACTTTAGTTAGCGCCGTCAATGTGTTTCAATCCAACAGAGAGACGATTCATGATGCCAGTTTGCCTTTAAGATCCCCCTTTTTCCCAAGACCTATCATCTCTACCTCATCTCCTTGCTTTTGTTATACTGACTCAGGCATTTTAGGAATTTTTCCTTTCTACCATTCATTTGTTCTTGACGATGGATCGTTGTGGCAGAGTCCCTACCGCAGAGGAATTCCAACTTCTACAAGACTATTTCGGTTTCCTTCCGGAACACAGTGTGATGATTCTGACGAAGGGGTCATCAATCTATGATCATCCTCAAGGGAATGTATGGGTTATGATTCCTCCGTTTGAAGCGGGGTTGCGCCTACCAACGTCTAAGTTTTTTGATATGATTGTGCAACACTAAGGTTTTTCTATTCATGAGTTAACCCTGATTGTCGTTAATAAGAGCGTAGGTTTTGAGCTGATTTGTTGATCTCTAGGTTGTATACCCACTTTTTGGGTTTTCATATACTTTTTCTATTCAACTAGGAACTCTGGTGTTCGCACTCTAGAGAAAATATGGGGAATTCATCATTTGATCTCTGAACAAGACATTCCAAAGAAAAATTGGTAGAGGCAATGGCTCTGGGTTAACTGAAACCTTGTTAGGCATGGAGAGAACTGGGAAGATTTCATTCTTGTCGTTGCCGGTATAAGTGTTACCAGGAGGGCTCATGGGAAGATGGCGCAGTTATTCGTCGTGAGATGCGGTATTCACTCATCTCCTCCCTGCCCCCCCCCCCTTTTTTAAGAGAAAAGAATGAGAACAGTGTATCTTATTGGCTTGTGAGTTCTTATACTTGACGCTTGTTTTCACATGTGTTAAAGTCGAGAGTTCCTTGGAAATGGCCCTGCGTGGTCACTATTGGGGTAAACTTTGCCACTAGGAGGTTGATCTTGTGGACGCTCTTCCACCTCCCATATCTGAAAAACACATACGAGATCTCGCTAAACTATTATCTGTAGAAGGGGAAAATACCGACTCTAGCGGGTCTGCCTCACCTTCCCGGCCGGCTGTTGGGTTCATTTCCCCAATTCATCTTCCGACATCCTCCTATTCCGATTCGCCTGCGGGAGCATAAGTAGGAAAAGGCACTACCCCTATTCATAAAGCAAAGCTTGTGTGTGGTGCCATCATCGGAAAAGGAGACTGAATCTGATGATGCGGGCCTCCATCCTCATAAGATGCGTAAGACCATGTCCGTGGCTAAGTTGCTTAGTGGTATCGGGGATTTGGTGAAAAGATTTTTGTGCCTAAGCAGGAAGAGATAGTGGTGGTGCCTAGTTCTTCAATGGCACCGCCATTTCCATTTACTGGCTCACACTTAGTTGATCCTGGTTTCGACTCTGTGTTTGGGGGTGCATTGGGCTCACTTAGAGGTTCTTCCCAGGCGAAAAAAGCCTTCCGAGATTGATGAAACCAGAATTACATCTCCCCCATGTCTTTTAAACCCTATACTCAGTGTAGGACGACTACTAAGGATTCATTATTTTCGGAAGACATCACCACCCAGGAGTGGAGTAGCTGTGCTCATCCCCCGGCCACAACAAAGTTTCTTGTAGGCCAATCGGGTGCTTGTAGGGCTGGTGACCTTCGATATGTCGTGGCTCAGGCTTCTGCCCTTATGGTTGTTGCCGCTGACCGAGTTTACTGCTCTGGCACGAATGAAGCACAGATAAAAACTTTGCAAGATGCCATTGCAAGCTTAAAGGAGGAACTCCGTGATTCAGAGTCTGAACGTCGACTACTGTTTGAGCAAAACTGTATTGTGGCCTACGAGAAAGTGCTTCGGAAGATCATGTGGCCACTTTGGAAGGACAAATAAATCGACTTGAAATTCAAGTGATTTTTCTTACTTAGGAGAAGTGTGTATTAGCGAGTAAGTTGGCCAAGTGCGAATGTCAACTGGCCCGTGCCCGGGTTGATGGTGCTTGTTGTGACATGTTCCATAGGGTTTAGATGTCGGATGATGAACTAGCCTTGAAAGTTTTCCTGAGAACACAACACATAGAAGAATCATTAAAGGACGTCCAGGTGTTCTCCCGAGACGTAGCTCCGACGATTAAGTTAGTTTTCTGGGAGAGGTAATTTTAGGGTAATATTTGTGAGAGTATAACGACCCAAAAAAACAAAGGTAAAAATTGCATTTTTAATATAGCTAAAACATTGATACCATTTATTCCAAACAATTAAAATCATCATTAACTAAACATTTATCAAAGTTCATCCCAAAATCATTCATTACAGAAATCATAGGTGTGTGCACTGCGATCAATCCGAGCCCTTCCTTTCCAAAACGATGATACCTGAAACCATAAATCAAAACCTGTAAGCACGAAGCTTAGTGAGTTTCCCAGAGCATACCATACACACAAACCACATATCACATATCATGTTGCTATAAAAAGCTACCTACATTGCATTTCTTGCTAGCTATAAAAGCTACATATAACATATAAGCCATGCACACAAAAACTTGTAAGGATGCCATGGGCTACCCCACATGGTCTTTACTAGGACTACCATGGGCTACCCCACATGGTCTTACATCCAATTACATGGGCTACCCTACATGGTCTTTACCTAGGACTGCCATGGGCTACCCCACATGGTCTTACATCCAATTCCATGGGATCCCTCTCGGGGTCTTCCATTCAAGTATCAAAAAGACAACTAGCATACCACACATCATATAATTACTATCATACCACCTAGCATGAAGCTAACTGTCATACCACATAACATAAAATGGGTCGGCCTTGGTGCCTTAGACCCATTGGTATGGTGAGAAGACTCACCTCAAATGCAGAAGCTTCCTAAAGAAATCCTTAGTTGTTGTCTCGCCCACTTCCTGAACCATCAATACAGATCAATATACCCAATTAGCAACTGGGTCCCATACCATAAACCTTAATCCATGCATGGGGTAAAATGACCATTTTACCCCTATCCTAGTATGATCCAAAACTAAGGCCAAAATCTCAAAAAAAAAATCCAACACTAGGTAAGCTTTCCAAGCCCACTAGTGGTCCATTAATGGTCCAATTTACTCAATTGGGCCCAATCTGTAACATCTTGAGTTTAGGAGTGCAAGTTCAGGGTTCAAAGTGTAAATGTGAAAGAGCAACTCGACGAGTCCATGGGTGAACTCGACGAGTAGGGTCGCGATTCTGGTCGCGTGTTAAGTGGCCAACTCGGCGAGTCGGTGGCTGGACTCGGCGAGTTGGTGTTGTGTGGAGAAAACTCTAATGTCGGAGGATGAGCCCCATATAAAGGACATTATACCCTCTACCTACCCTCTTTACCCTCTCTTGAAGTCCAGAAAACCCTAATGCACGTTTGTGAGTAATTTGAGAGCATTTAAACCTTGGAGAAGAGATTTTGGAAGAGATCTTAGAGAGTTAAGAGGCTTGGAGCAAGGGGCTTTGCTAGGATTCAGATTTCTCTTCTGTTGGAGCTTCCTTTTGAGGTATTATTTCGTTGCTTGGGCTATTATTCATCTAGATTCATCATTTTGGAGTATTTGGAAAGAATAGTTTGTGATATTTCGAGTTTGGAGGTTAGATCTGGGGTTACTACCTCAGATCTGGAATGGAGAAGGTCTATAGTGCATTAAAGTCCATGTTCTTGAGTGATTGGTGAAGCCATCTTGTCCCAAACCCTAACCCTAGAGTATATTATGCTTAGATCTCTTTGGATTCACGTAAAGTTTGCAACTTTACGTGATGGATGGGTTGTAGAAGGGTAGATCTATGGTTTGGATCATCTACATGGCCTGCAAAGCTTCTGTATGGATTAAGATCTAGGGGTACTCGGCGAGTCACAAGGGTGTAGTCGGTGAGTTGCATGAAGGTGGGCAGGAACTCGACGAGTTGGAAGAACAACTCGACGAGTGGGTTAAAGATAGCCTTGGACTCGGCGAGTCTGTTCTTAGACTCGGCGAGTCTAGTCTTGAGGTCCTAGCCTTTTCTGGTTAAGCTAAGAATCGGTGAGTCTAGGGATGACTCATTGAGTGGAGATGGGACTTTTCAGAGTTGAGGGACTCGGCGAGTCAACGGGCTAACTCGGCGAGTAGGGTCAGTCATGAAGTTGACTTTGACTGAGGACTTTGACTTTGACCAAGAGTAGACCAGTTGACTTCCAAGGGCATTTTGGTAATTTTTGGTATTTATTGGGTTCAGTCTTTTGGCATTATCATGGGTGGAGTTCGTGTCGGAGATTGGAGCAGCGTGATCTTATCTTTTCAGTCAGCAGTCGCAAGGTGAGTTATCCTCACTATATCGGCAGGGTCTAAGGCACCAAGGTCGGCTCTTTATCGGATTGTAATCCGGGTATTGTTGTTATGTTGTTGCTTTGCTATGTTTGCATCCTGGTAGTTAGGATGGTATATGTTAGAGACCTGGTTAAGGTCGGTATCCTGGTATATAGGATGATGCTATGCTAGTGGCCGGTTAGGTCGGTATCCTGTTTAGAATATGTTAGGTTATGTGATCTGCTAGATCGGTTTGATTGGATGTGAATTGTTATATGATTGTATATTTATGTGCACATGGTTGTTTGACTGGGGTTGGGTTGAGGTAGGTCCAGCTTTGTGTTGTAGGCCAACATACCCAGGGCGGACCGGTTATTCCGAAGGCCCAGCGAGCGGTCCGGATAGGCTGTAGGCCCTACGATGGCGGACCAGATGTGCCGAGGCTCGGAGAGTGGACCAGGACGACTGAAGGCCCGATGCGGGCAGAGCAGTCATACTGTAGACTCAGAGAGTGGACCAGTTGGGTTGAAGGCCCGGTGCGGGCAGACCGACCACACTGCAGACTCGAGGGATATGGCTAGACTCGGAGGGTGGACCAGGTGGACTGAAGGCCCAGTACGGCGGACCAGTCACACAGTAGAACCGAAGTGCATGGCAGTTCTGTTCGGTTATGATATGTTATGCGTGGTATATGTGGTTGGTATTTTGGGGGTATCTCACTAAGCTTTCGGGCTTACAGTTGTGGTTTAATGTTTTTCAGGTACTTCAAGAGACTATGGCAAGGCGAAGGCGTGATTGTACCGCTCCTCATGTTTACATTTTGTGTTATGGTTCTGGGAATACTCTGATAATAAATGTATTGAAAACCTTTTTATAATAACTTAATGAATTTGGGTTGTTTTTTAAAAGTTTAAATTGGTTTGAATTTTTGGAGTGTTACACAATCCCTCTAATGAGCCTTACCTTAAGCCCAAACATATTCTTGGCCTAAATTATCTGACTTCTGGTGGCTTACTAAGGCCCAACCCAAAGCGTGGCCCAAACCATGGCCCAAAAGCATAAGGTCCAAATGACAGAGTACGCGGGTCGTACATCCACGTACGCTAAGCGTACCAACTAAGTGGTGCGTACGATGGGCGTACCTTCACGTACGCTCAATGTAAACCTATTTTTAAATCCATTTCTCATTAAGTGCTTAATACTTCACTTCAGAAGCTACAATAACAAATCTTGGTCCTTTTCCACGTCTTAATCCATAAAGTCACTAACTTAGTGACATTACTTGGCCCAAACAAGCCCAACTCCAAAAATGATGTTCTACTTCCATGAAAAGGGCTAGATCTCATGCATGAACCCCTTAAGACATGCAAGATGGAGACTTTACTGCTTATGGGACCCTTTTAGCTCTAAGGGCAGCAACCCTAAGCTCACAAACGAGATTTCACCATAAAGGTCCATTCTTGGGACCAAAATGACCCTAAAACCAAACTACACTAGATCTAAGCATTCTTAGGTACAGTTATGAACTTTATACCTCCAAAGAGTCCCAAAGGATGATGCTAACCCATATCTATAAGCTCCAACTTCCCAAGTTCTTCCTTTCCAATTTCTTCTTTTCCTCTTCCAAGCTTACACCACCAAAATGAACTTCTTAAGGTAAAAATCACACAAGAATAAGGGGATGAGGCATTCTAGATTATCTCTGAGGTTGGGGGATAGATAAGGAGGTTAGGGTTTGAGACATTAAGTTCTTTATATAGAGGTTGGCCTTAAAATTAGGGTTTCTGGACACTGGACGCACGTTGGGCGTACGGCAAAAACACCCGCGGCCATTTCCTTTTATATGTTGGGAATACCCACGTGCCATCTACTTTGCATGCATGGTCCTTCCTTGTCATTTATTTCCATTAGGGGCCATTTTCTCCAATAACTTCAAAGAGTCATAAATCCTTCATTCTAAGTCCATTTCCGACGAACTTTATATCCACGAAAAGGTGACGGGAAGCCCTATGCTCCCATCGACACCTCCAAGTCCAAAACTTTCCGGATGAAACCCGGAACCCATAAAAGACCAAATCACCCCTACTCTTTGGTTTTCGAGGCCCCAATCGAGTACTTTCAAACAGGGTGTTACAACTCTCCCCCACTTAAACTAGACTTCACCTCTAAGTCATGCATTGCCATTCCCGACATACCAGACTACCTGGGCCCCATGGCCACAAACCCGAGAATACCCTCATCTCCCCAAGGCAATCAAAACCAACCCTTGCAGGGTTCTTGAATCTGAAGATGAAGAATTTCCTTGCAACCTGATCACATCCTCTCCATCTGAAACCTCAAGCCTCAGGATGGTCTGTCTCCGTGACAGACTGCCCACATCGAGTCATCCTTGAACTGATTCCACAAAAGACCAGCCTAGATAGAATACTTCCCACTCAAAATACCTTGAGGCTTCTTAAAGAAAAAAATTCGTCGATCAACTGCGACTATCTCATAACCCGCAATTCCACACACAGACCCCAAATCTTTGAAGTCGCTCCTACTCCTCTTGTTGCCACATGGCTGTTTTCTGG